GTTCTCATCGCTTGCTTTCCTGTTTCTGTAGAAAACACATTTTGTACCAACATTTGTAATGTACTCAAAACTTTATTTGATACACACACAATGAACTTTAATGTAATATAATAAAGAAAAACCCTTTCACTCAGTAACTTAAGTTTTTTCTAAAATAAATGATGTTTATTTACAGAATAAAACAAATAACTTATGTACAAATTATGTTGAACAATCAGAATTTTATGAGTTAAAAGATCAACAAAAATCACGTACGCGTTCATACGTATGTAAATATGACAATTCAAAAAGAACAGCAAACTTCAGGTTTAAGATCTTGATAAACCAGATGTTTCAGGCACATGAACTTATATGGCAATGTTTAACTTAAGAAAAGAAAGAGAGTTTAGATCAAAGATTTATCTTATCAAAATGTGAGAAACCAGAACAAACAGTGGATCTCTAGCCGATGCCTCAGCCCAACTCCAGCACACTTTGTCAAAACATTCAGCTTTACCTTTTGGCGTCTCGACCATCAGGTTAAGCGTGTAGGGAGACTTCAGGTTTCTTACGGCCAGTAAAATTTCCCAAGTTTTGCTTCACAGCGCCCACGGAAATCTGCTTCTGTTCATCGGAGGAGCCCAGGTCAGTTTCAGGTTTCTCTTTCAAAAATAAATACTTATCATCAGAAGTTTTAAAATAATGGAGCTTCAAAGCTGGTTGYTTTCAGYGAGACGGGGAGGTTGTGACTCTTCCGTCTCGTTTCTTTTCTCATTCGGTCTGTGTCGAGGGCTGCTTCCAGCGTTAGTTTCTAAAGAGAGAAGAGCTAGGAATGTGACCTCGATGGGTGTTAGTTCAGACAGAATGGAAAGTTTAGACTAGAGTAGCTGAATAACACTTTTGCACCTGTTTCAGATAAACAAGTTCAACTTTGGCAGGGATTAACACTGAATGAAAAATGATCCATTATGTAACTTTGATTTATAAAATGATAATAACTTGTAGTTAAAAGGAAGTATAAATAAATAAAAAATAAAGAACATTATTATTTTGCTTATTAAAGAAACTAAAATGTCTCTTTTGAGGAAGGTATTTTTAGATCAGGGTCAAAGACAAGTGGAAATGTTTATTCCCCCATCGGGGTGACCCTTACACACTTGAGACCTGTGAGGGCTTTTAGATCACACTGCTGTACCTGCTGTGTAATGCTGATGTCTGGTCCTCCTGTTCACAGGTCCGTCTGCCAGAAAAAACACCGGCAGAGTCGCAGACCGCCCCTCCGTCGGGTGTCTCTCACTTCCGCACCATTGAGCGGCAGGACTCCTTCGATTTGGGTTGCGAGGCTGTGGTCAGCTGTGGAAGAGCAGGCAGCGTAACTGTTGTGAAACCACAGCCGAGGACTTTAGATAGCTGCTCCGTGCAAATAAGTTATTTCTCCCGGGAGAAGGACTKCAACGGTGACCTTCGTACCCGCAGTGAGCTCTTCATGTCTTGTGTTTCATCAGAGGATGGAGATTTACTGGAGTCACTTGAATGTAATCTGGGACAAGAGGCAAAAAGAGACTTGTCTTCTAGTTTGGCCAACAGTGGTGTTGAGCCACACACCAGTAGGGAAGGTGAAGCTGAACGTGTTGGCTCTGTGACTGACGGAAACAGTGTGGACACTGAAACCAAAGCAAAACATACTCAGACAGAAAGTAACGACTGCGCAGCTCAGGGAACAAGTCAGGATAGTAGAGAACTGTTGGATCTGCAAAACCACTTGAGCAATGATGCCCCCCTCCGTGAGGGGGACAGTGGAATATATCCTGGTGCAAAGGGAGGAGATGAAGACGGTGAACTTAGAGGGATTGATGGATCTGCAGGAGGAACACCTACACCCGGAGTCATTTTGGCCAAGTCCTCCGAGGTTTCTTCCAGATTTGAGCAAGATAAGAAGAAAGGTGAAGTATTTCTGTATGTTGGCTTTCAACTTAAAAAACATAAGCCAGTACTTCACTAGCTGCAAGTTGGMGAACGAAATTTAAAAAATAATCTCAGAAACATCTTAAACCTCTTCTGGTGGTTCTTAATGTTCTTTGCTTGAGCTGCAGAGGCTCGTTCAGGTCTAAAAACCATGCAGATGAAAAATAATTATTATTCAAATTCTGGTCCAAATTTGTCCTTCATTTTGCTCCAGCAAATTAAATCACAAATGTGGCGATGGCTTCCAAGGTGGGTAGAAACTGGCTGGAATAAAATAATGTGCACAGCCTAAAATGCAGTTGTGCAAACTGTGCACACAAAAATAAAGAGAAGGGAGTCTCCACAGTCACTACGTAGGAGTTTCTTTTTTAGGGGAGTTTGTCCAAGACATGAGTGGTCTGTTTGACTTTTGTTAAAGACGTGATTGGGTGGATTGACTTGGTAGAGTGTGAAGAAGCTGGGGCCAGCTGGGAATAGTTTAGTTGAGAAGGCCAGGAAGCACCTATGTTTTTTTAAATATAAATAATAATTTTAGTCATAACTCAAGATTTAAATTGAATAATCATATTTACATGTTCTCAATAATTTTACTATAGAGTCAATCCAATCATTCACAGTTTTAGCAAACTCCGCCCACACCCAACATCCACCTATTATCCAAAATCCGCCAATCACGGTTAGGACAAACTCCGCCCDTATAACAAGAAACTTGTACTGCAGAGATCCCTTTATGAACATAAGCCAGAATTTAAAATAATAATTAAAAAAAACCTGACTGTGCATAAATCTGCCACACCTAACTGGTCACTTGTTTACAAACAAAAATGAGTGGGACTGAAAAAAAATCTATTTTCTTTCTGAGTCACCAACTAGTTTCCATTGGGTCTGTGAGTTAAGTAATTAGTCATTGTCTAAATAAATAAACTGGTTGCAGGTAAACGAAATCATCATCTAGGACCAACAGATATTTACCTGGAGGATCTGATCTCACTGAATCCTGAGGTGGCTGCACTTTATTTCCCCAAAATGTAAGCTACCAACTTGTGACAAAACACACTGTATAATCTCTGAAACCTTTATTGTGAAAACCATTGAGCAAAATGAAGTTTTTTAACCCACAACACATTTAACAAATATCCTTCCACATTTTAATAATTCAGTATTTTTTATTTTTACAGTTTGAGGTGATAAAAGTTACATTTCTGTTATCTGGCCTGCCCGCAGTGACCCAGAAGGAGCGTTCCCCCCCGTGGCAGATCTGGGCTCAGGCTCAGGTAGCCAGTCTCCTCAGTCAGTGGGCAGCGCGGCGATGGACAGCGGCACAGAGTACCTGTCCGACTCCACCGGCTACAACATGGACGTCAGCATGTCCCTCTGTGGGAGAGAGGGCGACACCAGCCAGATCACCAAAGAAAAGTTCATGGAGCACCTTGTGACCTACCAGGATTTCATCAACAATCCAGGAATCACTGAAGATCCAAGTCTTGTCATCTGCATAAATTCCAAGTCAGATTATTATTTTTTTAAAAGATATTTTACAAAAAGAATTGGTTAAATCACAGCTCTTTGATTTAAGTATGTAAATTTTCTCTCTGAATGTCTTTTATTTTATTTTAAATGTTCAGTTATTACAACTGGGCAGTGGCTGCTCCGATGATCCTGTCCATGTCAGCTTTTCAAAAAAACCTTCCCAAGGTATTTTACTCTTTCAAAAACCAGGAAAACAACTAATACTTTTTATTACACACACACACAAAAAAGAAAACAAACAAACAAACAAAAAAAATGCTTATATTGTGTTTTTCATACAACAGAGTACAGTAGAGCGTCTGGTGAAGGACAAGATGTCCAAAAAGTCTGGCCGCTGGTGGTTCTCGTGGAGGCGCAGAGACATGGACAACCAGGTAGCTGCTGTTGTTGATGGTTACTCAGTGGATTATGAAGCAYAAGGTTACATGTTGGAACCTGCACTGACTACCAACTGTAACGGCAGGGTGTYGCTTTATTTGTTTCATGTAAACCACAGGAA